CGATTCCTCTCTCTTTTGCTCTTTCTTGTGTTTCATCGATCTTTGAACCCATTTTTTTTGTAACCGTCTCTGTTTCATATTCATTTTCTCGGGAGAATAACCAATCGAAGAAATTATTCTCCTGAGAAAATTTTCAATTCGGAAATTTTTCGATTTCGATCTAAATGGGGAAGACGAGTGGGACGAGAGATTGGGGTCAGATCTACGCGATTTACGGGATCGAGCAGAAACACACTCTCTTCTTCCTCCTCCTCCACGCGATTGCTTTCTCTCTACTCTCCACCGTCTTCTTCCTCTACTTCCACCCGATCTGCCTCTTCCTCGAGTCTTTCCTCTTCTCAAGCTCCGCCGCTGCTAGATTCGCCGCCGGATTCTTCGGCGCCGTAACGGCACTCTCCGCCGTGTGTTTGTTTTACGCGGCGGCGAATTTCTTCTACTCCGCCGTGCCGCTACGGTACGAGATGGCGCAGAGGATGGTTGGATCGGTGGTGGATTGGTCGAGCGTGAAGACGGCGCTTGATCTCGGTTGCGGCCGAGGGATTCTGTTGAATGCGGTGGCGACTCAGCTGAAGAAAACCGGAAGTTCGGGTCGGGTCGTCGGGTTAGACCGGTCCATGACCACTACTCTCTCTACTCTCCGTACGGCTCACATCGAAGGTGCGTGAGTTAAGAGTATAATTTTTTTATAAGTTTGACTTTTTGACTACGTTTCAAAGTCGTTTCTCGTTGACCAAACAATATTACTATTATTTTTGTATGACTATATTGCGTGATTAACGGTTTTACTTTTACATGCTTTTTTGATTGCAGTCTATATTATCTTTAGTTTTATGACCTAGTACAAATTTTGGATTTACACATAATGGTAATTTTTATTAGAGTTTAGCCATCTAATCAATCATTAAGAAAATTTGGATTTACATATAATGGTAATTATAATGGATTACTACTAAACTTGTTGTGTGATTGTTCTTCAAAAGTTTAGTACGAAATTAAGTAAACTGAAACCTATGTCTGTGTATATGTAGGAGTGCAAGAGTACGTGACTTGCCGTGAAGGAGACGTAAGACGTCTTCCGTTCAGTGACAACTATTTCGACGTGGTGGTTTCCGCCGTGTTCCTCCACACCGTCGGGAAAGAATACGGTCAGAAGACGGTGGAGGCGGCGGCGGAGAGGACGAGAGTGCTTGGAGAAGTGGTGAGAGTGCTGAAACCAAGCGGAGTAGGAGTGGTGTGGGACCTAGTGCACGTGCCGGAGTACGTGCGAAGGTTACAGGAGCTGAGGATGGAGGAGATTAGGGTTTCGAAGCGAGTCACTGCGTTTATGGTGAAGAGCCATATGGTCTCCTTTAAGAAACCTAGTCACCATTTTGTGGGACCCGGAGAAGTACGTTTAGATTGGAGATGTTGAAATGACCTGGAATTAAAACAAACAAAACAAAAAAAATCTAAGTTTATAATTAAATCATATAAATTTCTATATACAAAGTTCACTTCTTTAGGATTATGAAAGTTAAGATTAGCAGCGAATTCAGACATTTTGCTGCAAAGTTAATCATACTTTGATTGAAAAAACCCCACCGGTTTTGCGAGAGATTAATAAGTTTTTTTTCTTTTCTTTTCATATTCTAATTAACGGTTGTAGAATGGTGTTATTTTCATTAAACATGGGAGAATAAGGATCATTGGTATTGGTTTATATATCGAATCGTATTAATTTGATGGGAGCCAGCTTAGAAAATTAGGTTGGATATCAATGCAAAGAGCATACCAAATCTAGTCAGTTGATTAAGAGGAAGCCTTTTGTTTGCTTGAAAATGAAGTGATAGTTACTTAAGTTAGTACCTAGTGTCACTTTCACTAGTCACTATCGATTTTATTGCTTCACATTCAATTAATTTATCACTAAACTTTTGATTAGATATTATATTTCGGATCTTTTTAATACGATTTATACCGCCTCAACTTTTTAAATTTTTAATATCTTGCCTGATCCTAGTTAATTCTCACTGTTTACACGTATAATAATAGTGTTTCGACCCAAAAAAAAAAACACGGTATAATAATAGTGTTTTGGTAGAGAGTGTCAATTGTCAAATATATTAAAAAAAGGAATTAATTAATAAATTGGGTCCACATATTAAATGCTATTTGAGGGCTAAAATTCAGGTGTGGGGGCA